GAATTAAGAGATAATGTGAAGGAACATTCGACAATATTAAGTTAAATATGCTATTTATTGGACCTCTTTGAAAACTTGATTTTAAAGCAATTTTATTTCAAGTTTTTCAATTAGAGATCAAGTTTACTCTAATTTTACTATATAATTATACAAATGAATCATTGAGAATATTGCATTAGAAATTGCAATTTTTCTATAATTATGGTATAATAACTAAAAATCAACACGAGATGCTATTAACACAGATCATCTTCTCTAGCATAGCACTACTCACTATCATAATAATATTTCTTTTTTTTAAGAAAGTACGTAAGAAACGTATTATAGTTACCAAAAAAACTACCACAGAAGAAGATAAAAAAAATAATAAGCTACACAAGAAAAATAAGCAAAAAGAGCGTAAGCAAACACTAGAACAAGAGATTGACAATAATGTAACACAAGACGACATAAAACAAATTTACACAGAAGATTTAGAAATAGTAGATATTGCAAAACCATTAGGTAAATGGACAAAAATGGTTATGCAGAATGGAGGCCTTATGCTACGTTTTGCACAGTTAATAAAAAAAAATGAAGGTGGTCAAAAGGGGTTTTGGCAATTATTTGTTGAAGCACAATCTTCAACCAAAAGCAAAAACAGGGGCCAAGGTAGATAATTTATGCTTGAATGTAAAAATTTGTCCTGTACTCGCAATAATAAAACATTATTTAAAAATCTCAGTTTTAAGGCTGAACCACAATCTAAAATTTTAATCACCGGACAAAATGGTAGTGGTAAAACTACCCTCATCAGAAGTTTATGTGGGTTACTACCACCTACATCTGGTAACATTAAGTATCATGGTAATGATATATATGAAGACCCTAAATTCTATATATCTGCCATGGCATATATAGGACATAAAAATGCGTGTAAGGACAATCTCACTGTCATGCAAAACATAGAATTTTGGGCAGGAATACGTAATACACAAGAATTAATTATAGCAGCTGCCTGTTGTTTGCAGTTACAACCTGTACTAAACATCAGATATAGTGAGCTTTCTGCAGGTTGGAAAAGAAGGGTTGCACTTGCTCGTCTTTTAGTTTCTAATGCTAACATTTGGTTCATAGATGAACCATTTTGTAACCTTGATAATACAGCATATGATTTAGTGATTAACCTTATTACAATACGTTCCAAACAGAATGGTATAGTAATCATTACAGGCCCGAGTTTTACAGAGCAACTATCTGACTTCAGAACAATTAGCATATGTGATTTTAGTGACTAGACCTCAGTAAACCTTTTATAAGCCATACTAGTACAAATTATCTTTATTTCATCTCTCTATTTAACTTTCTCCGGCTAATCTCTCTGCTTCATTGCGTGCAATTAGAGCTTCAATAAATTCATCTAACTCACCTTCTTTCATAATTTGCTCTAACTTGTATGAAGTTAAATGAATTCTATGATCCGTAATTCTTGATTGTGGAAAGTTGTATGTTCTTATGCGCTCAGAGCGATCTCCAGAACCTATTTGACTTTTTCTTATCTGTGACCGCTCTGCTTCTTTCTTTTGTCTTTCAATTTCATACAATCTCGCTCTCAAGACTTTAAGTGCCTTAGCTTTGTTCTTATGCTGTGATTTCTCATCTTGTTGTATTACAACCATTCCTGTTGGCAAATGTGTAATTCTCACTGCACTATCAGTTGTATTCACTGATTG